TATACTACTAATATAGTTGCAGCATTACTCTACCACGTATAACCATGTCCTATATCACAGATTACTTTTTTTATATAGGGAAGTCCTATATAGTATATTATCTATGTACCATCAGGTTAACTGTCTTGCTTATTTTTTTTTTGAAGAAGAAGAGGGCTTACTTGCATTTAGACTATATCCAATACCAAACAAAAATAGGGTACAATCTACATATTTCGAAGATCTTGCTGGTACGAGTACATACAATCAACCATTAAATCTAAAAATAAATGGTTGATTGTATGCACCTTATAAGAGCGGGCAAACGAGCATGTAGCTCACCTCTTGATAAGTGACTATTACTGTGTCCATGAATAACTGCAACACTGGAGAACTGCAGATGTATTGCTAACTCCTTTTTGAAGGTTTCTTAGTTGGCATGCCACATAGCTGGTGGTATTCAATTCCACAAAGAAGTTGTTTGAATCAAATATTAGTAGCAACACTGGTTAGAGTTAAAGAGGCTGATCCATTGGCATGGGATGATGGGGCACAGACTGAGCATAGCATTCACCTGAATAATTGGAATACTTACATAACAAACTAGCCTGGCAGACATTCTTCAGCTCTTACCATTGGATGTTGTGATGAGATTCACGCCAATCGGACTTTAGTGTAAATATAATATTCTAATAATAACGCATCTTATTGGGCCTAGGTTTTGTGATTTTTGACAGTAGATCATTTTAGTCCATAAATATATAATTTGTTAATTACTTAACAAGTCTCACCTATCGGAATCTCAGTCAAGTTGGACAGAGGTTACACAATCACTACCAGATGCATAATATACTATGTATATGCATTTGTTAGTTAGTGTATAATATATATGTATCTGTTAGTGGTCATGTAAGGTAAGTATATATATTTAACAAAAAATTAAGGTAAGGTGTTGGTTTCGCATTATAAAATGATTAGGCAGAGGTGAAGAAGCCTGGTGCTTCTGTTTATGCTTACTTATATTTGGCACTATAATATAACCTAAGCTAAACCTAAAGTCAAAACTGGCTGGTGGCATGAGGTGCATAACATTTGGTTGATAAATTGGCTACAATGGTAACAGCAAGTGGTACTGTTGTAGCCAATTTAGGAAAGTAACAATAAGTGGCTAAGCTTTATATTATGTTAATCAACAGTAAAAATTAAATGACTAACAAAGTATAACAATGTCATTACATAGAAAATGTGCTGTCATCAATACCCTCCAAGTGTGGTGATTAGATCAAATACTATATACCCCACAACGTAATATGTTAAGGCGATATGACCAGCCACAGAACAGTAAAAGCAATGTTTGCACCACGGCTGGACATAGGCCTCTACAGAGCATGAAAGGGTTAACAGTGCTTCTCCAAATCAATGTCAATTTCACTGTAAAGAAAATATTCTTTTGATCTATTACACTAAAATTTAGTCTAAAAATAAAGATAAATAATAGTAGTAACATTTATTTGCTATAATATAAAAAAATATTTTATATTTTATGTCGATTTTTGTGGTTGTAATTTATCTAATTAAATTAATCATTTGTTTTGAAATATTTTCATTTTATATTTTATTTCATTTGAAGGTTTCACTTGTATCGCATGTGAACTGCACACATGTTGAATTAATTTTTCTACTTTTAGGAATGTTAGTAGTTTGGTTTGTTCATTTTTAATCTAATTAATATAAAATATAACTAATGTTACAAAAAGGAACATTAATCCTTACAGTTACCTAATAAATTAACTTTCCCACCATGTAATATGTCATATAATTCACCACATTTACCATTTAAATAATGGTTTAAAGTGAATTTTGATATGCAAATGTGCTATGATTTTGTGTATTAAAAAGTAATTAATATTGAAATCATTTTTTTTAATTTTACCACTGGTCCAGAAAAAAATCTCTGTCCTAGGAAGCACCCAACGAAACTTATTTTTTCAAAGTAAAATAAAACACAGTTCGTACAAAGTACTTAAAAATTATTACGAAACAGCTTGGAAGAGAGTTGTGTATCGCTAGCAACACAAAGTCGGGAATTTGCATTTGGAAAAATCCAAAATTAGGGGCTTTTTAGGTGCTAATTAGGTGCCAAGTTTAAAAATTAGGTGCTCTAAAATTTTCACCGCAACTAACTGTTAAAATTTGCGTTGCTGGCAAAACGTCTCGCTAGCAACGCAATGAAGTTGTTAGATATACGATAAATATTAATACCAAGGAATTAAGTGCTAGTTAGGTGCTGCAAGTATACGCAATAATAAGGCGCCCCTAATAAAAATAAAGTCGTTATTCAGAACATAGCAGATGAAAAATTCAGATTTCCTAAAAATCAAAATAAAATCAAAATTGCTTTCAGAAAAAGTCCAAATTAGGGGCTTTTTAGGTGCTAATTAGGTGCCAAGTTTAAAAATTAGGTGCTCTAAAATTTTCACCGCAACGAACTGTTGAAATTTGCGTTGCTGGTAAAACGTATCGCTAGCAACACAATGAAGTTATTAGATATGCGATAAATATTAATAGTAAGGAATTAGGTGCTGCAAGTATAGGCAATGAGCAATGACAAGTCGCCCCAGATAATAATAAAGTCGTTATTCCGAAAATTATTCAGTAAAACAAATGCAAAAATCAGGTCTTTATGTTTGTGCCATCTAGCGTCTATCGTGCTAACCACCTTGAGAGTCTATCGATTTTGATTCGATAAAATGACTAGAACTATAGAACATTGTAGATGGCGCTATTTATTACAAAGCAATTTACTGCGGTAAAACTTTTCCTTTCGATTAAGTACACTAAAGTTTAGGCTTCACATGTCTAAAAATAAGAATTGTAACATTTATTTGGTTGAAAATTATATCAAATAATATTATAGATTATATTAAATCTGAAAAACAAAAACTGCCGTTCATACCTTATAGTAATTGTGGTTTTGAATCCGATAATTTCCAGAATATTACCGTCATCTACATGCGACCTCAATAATCTTTCAGCACCTAATTTTTAGGCACTGATAACGAACAAAAATACCGTTCATACATTATGGTAAGGTAATGGTGGTCATGGCCACCATAATTTCCAGAATAATATCTTAATCTGTATCGGGTTTCAATAATCGCTCAGTACTTAATTAACACTTAATTCCTTGCTGTTAATATTTATCGTATAACTAGTAACGTCATTGCGTTGCTAGCGATACGTTTTTTTTTCATAGGATAAGGGTGACAAACGAGCACACAGTCCACCTGATGGTAAGTGGTTCCTGCGGCCCATAGACATCTACATCTATCCTCTGTTACAAATCAAAATGCAGATGCGTTGTCACCCGTGAGGAATAAGATGGAATGCCTCATTTCCAGTAAAAAGGGCCTCCAGCCACCTGCACTCACCAAGCGAAACGCAGAGGTAAACCTCTACTTCACGCTGGTATTCTGTGAGGTCGTGGTACCACCCCGGTTCAAGCCGGCCCATCCGTGCGACAGCAAAAGCTGCCGCGTGGCTCTACCAGTTTAAAAAAAACGTTTTGCCAGTAATGCAAATTTCAATCGATCGTTGCGGTGAAAATATTGGAGCAACTAATTTTTAAACTTGGTACTTAATTAGCACCTAAAAAGCCCCTAATTTGGACTTTTTCTAAAAGCATTTTTGATTCTATTCTGATTTTTAAAAAACCTGAATTTTGAATCTGCTATGTTCTGAATAACAACTTTATTTTTATTAGGGGAGCCTTGTTGTTGCGTATACTTGCAGCACCTAATTAGCACTTGATTCCTTGCTATTAATATTTATCATATATCTAACAACTTCATTGCGTTGCTAGCGAGACGTTTTGCTAGCAACGCAAATTTCAATCGATGAAAATTTTAGAGCTCCTAATTTTTAAACTTGGCACCTAAAAAGCCCCTAATTTTGGATTTTTCCAAATGCAAATTCGCGACTTTGCGTTGCTAGCCATACACAACTTTGGAAGAGACCATCTCATTCCCAGTGTTTATTACCAACTATGTGTTCTATGTGCATTACTCTTTTTAAACAGTTTTTGTACAATAAAATATTCAAGTGGTAATATGGTCTCTCACCTTGTATATTTTCTGCAAGTTTGTTGTAATATTGTATATATTACCATGAATGAATTACTGCCTCTGTGGAGTCTAGAAACTGGTATCACTAGCTTGTGTTTGTTTCTGGTGTTTACAGAGGGTATATTGCTTTTTTATTAAAACTAAACTTAAACTTATTAAAAAAAAATACTTTTGTTTTCATAAATATGTTACAGCTAAAAACCGAAGTGCGGTTACACCTAGTTCTAAATGGCTAGAACTAGGTGCCGCCAGCAGTAATTGGTTAAATTTAGGTGTACTATTAAATTTGTAAAAACACAGACATATGTATCAAGTAATATCAGCAACAGTAGGTTAAGGTGCAGTGCCACAACTGCAAACATTTATAAATTATATATTATACACCTAAGTTTAACCAACCGCAATAGGCTGCACCTAGTAGTAGCCGGCTAACTAAGTGTATCTGCACTTCGGCTTTTAGCCGTAACATATATACTGAATACACATATTTACTAAGTTTTAATTCACCAAAGAGCATTATTTAAATTTTAGTAATTTTAGCCAGCAGAATTAAACTTAGATTGCAAGCATACTTAACTTAGTCCTTGAGTTACCCTAGCTGTGGTTTTAGTTTAGGTACGTTTTTATAAAACAAAAAACAGTTTTCGCAGATATGTTACAGAGAAGATGAAAGGTTAAAAATATTATTTTTTTGATAAATTTAAAACCACAACCCTTTAAAAATACATAATATAATATAAATAGACGGGAAAGTCGATCTTTGATTTTAATGAATATGGATATAATGGAACACAATAAGTATAAAGGTTAATTAAATAAAATCGACGTTAAAGAGCTAAAACTTATAATTACAACTAAGAAACATAATTTACACAATTAAATTAATAATTCCATAGTTTATTCAGTCTGCTCTAACTCCTTGAACTTGCCACGGTAAAAGGGGATGTAAGCGCAGAACACTCTCCAGTCAGTAAAGTAGAGGAGCCCAACAAATGCTGTTCCACCGAAAGCCATTGCCGATGGTAAGAATGACGCTGCCATTTCAACTTGTTTTCGTCCCAATCGTCCTAACATTTTGAATCTTTATAAATTTATTCTTAAATTATTAAATTAGTGTTACGTAAAACACTGAACCACGATATAAGAAAATTTTATAAAACACAGATAAAAAATTTGACCAATGACATTTGTGCATTGTTGCCATTAAAACATAGATAAATATATATGTAGCAAGCTATTGCATTAAAACATAATGATTAATATAATATACTCTTTGGTTGCTATCTAAAAAATCTAACAAAAGAAAGGAAAGCTCAGCGCATACATTTTGTACTAGATCCCGCATACCGTCAGAAAAATGCCGGACTGATTGTTCGCTTCTGACGCTCGTGGGGTGCATGCCAACTGCACGTCAGAAAATTTTCTTGTTATCCATACATTTTGTACAATTCGCGTTATATTGGAAATATCGTTTATGTATATTATGAATAATAGAGGTCCTAGTATACTTCCTTGCGGCACTACGCATTTATTTTCGCACTATGGTGATCTATATTTTTTTTACGATGTCCAGAGTAGCTTGATATCTCAACACAATCTTAATCCTCAGGGTTGGCGACGCATTTGCAATCTGTAGCATATGTTGTTGTCCTTGAGATCGTAAATGTCCATGGGCCACAGTTTACTTACCATCGGGTAACTTATTAGTTTGTGCATCGGGTTGACTAGTTTGCCTTCTCCATGATATAAAAAAGCTCCCAGAACAAATACAATCTTGTATTAAAGTAGGCTTGGTGCCCTCGACCAATATATCGTTTGAACTCTGATCTTAGGAAACCTGTAATAAATAAATAAAAAACAATATAGTCGAGGTTCACACTTAGTAGTTTTAATATAATATACGGATAATATACGCGTAAGCATTGTATTGTATAATTAATTTGATGCAATTTTAATATTAAACTATATTACAATAAAGCTCACGATATGTATTAAATAAATCAGAAAACGTAATCTCAAAATTGATTATATACACAAGAGACATGTCTCATGAATAAAAACTTCATATTTGCCATTTTATTGATAACTATTTACAAACCGGTGTACCAAAACTATCGCTCGGTGATTGCAACAACTCGGATACACACTCGGATCAGTCGCCCAACGGAACCGCATATTGTATGGGGGCGAACGTCGTGTTGTTTTGAACACTTTCCAACATTGACTTACACTTGTCTTCATTTGGAGCCCAAATCACAGAGTTGCATTCCAAATGACTTTTTACCATCGCTTCATACAAGGCCCTTATTGCGTTGATGTTAGTGAACTCGTTTGCTTGCGGTTTTAGGTGCCAAGTTTGCGGTGTGCTCTCTTGCAGACTTCAGTAATGTGTTCTCGAAACTTTAAATCACTTGTGAAATAAACACCCAGATCTTTCACTTTCATGACGCGCTGCAGCTGCTTTCCCTCCATGTGGTACGCGTGATGGTGCGGAACACGTGCTCGGCTAAATGACAACGTAGAGCATTTGCCCAAGTTAAAATAAAGTTTATTGTCCCGGCTCCACTTCATGACCTCATTTATATCCCGCTGCAGTCTAGCATGGTCTAAGGTATATCTTATTTAGATAACTAATTTTAGGTCATCAGTAAATAAAAGGCACGTTGATTCCTTGATCACCTCCGGTAAGTCATTTATCATAATTATAAAATGAAGAGGACCCAAATTACTTCCTTAACTGACCCCTGACCTTGTAAAGTACTGCTCAGAGTAGCACCCACCATAGTCAACGTACTGACGTCTGCCACACAAGTAGCTGGCGAAGAACTTCCTGCCTGTTCCGGCCAACTTCGCCATCAAGATATCATTATCGACCGTATTAAAGGCCTTACGAAAATCGAAATAGGCCACATCAACCTGTATCGCTGCATCAACTGCTGGGACTACTTGTGACATTAAATGCAACAAGTTCCCGGTTGTGCTCCGACCAGAGCGGAAGCCATGTTGCGAGTCAGACAACAGAGTTTTTAACTGCATATATAAGCAGTGGTGAATGGCGGATCCGAATACCTTGGCTGGTGTGCACAATATCGCTACAGGTCTGTAGTCACTAGGTTCCGGACCGCCATGACCTTTCGGCACTGGAACAACTCGAGTAAGCTCCCACATATCAGGAAAGGTCGTGGTCACGATGCAGGTATTACATAAATGTAGTAACGGTTCCACCCGAGCAAAGCGACAATCTCTAAAAATGAACGGTGGTATATCGTCCGGTCCTGCCGAGCGCTTCGGCATTAGTCGGGAGAGCGCGCGGCGCACCTCCGCCGGCTGTAGGGCCGTGAGATGCACCCATGCGCTCCCTGTTGAAGCCGCGCTAGCTGCTGACACATCCAGTACAGACGATTTTTGGTTGTACACGGAATGAAAAAATTGTGCAAATTCGTCAGCGCATTCCTGATTCGATAGGACTCGTCCATTTTTAATTAAATGGTGCTGGGAAGAGTTACCTTTTTTTAGCCTCACGTAGTTCCAGATAGGTTTCGGATTCGTTGCCAGATAGTTCTGTACACCATTTTGATAAGTTTCGTGAGTGAGTGCGATACTGTAAGCTCATTCTGCGTAAAAAAAAATTAATATTAAAAAACTGAAAGTATCCGGGTTAACTATGACATCAGGACGTCAAACACCTTAGTCCCCCGTGACCACGGGTGCTGGAAAGCACCCGAAACGTCGGGAATATAAAATAAGTTAATATACGCGATAAAATCCGTAAAATTAGTTTTATTTAAATTGTTTTTATATTTAATACATATTTTTTCTAACAGACTGAACATTACTATATACTCATTATCTGCCGTCTGTGGTAGAATATATACTACACAACAAGTAAATAAAAAACGGTTCCGAATGTGAATAGTAGCACAAATTAATTCGAATTTATAAATATCTATATTTATATCGTAGAACATCGCTACTTCTCTTATCTGAAACTGCGGTGCAGCAACTAAAGTGCTCCTCCTTTATTACGTCCATCGGCACGATCACATTGCAATATGAAATAGCCGGTTGGTATAATCTCCGCGTTCGTTGCACCCAGTCTCTGTAATGGCAAATATATCCGAACCAGAGGATTTGAGTAAAGATAAAAAATTTAATGTCTTTGTTCTTAGACCTCTTACATTTTTATATAAAATATTTATGCTCTTAATTCATGGATTGTTTGGTGTGGACCGTTGTGAGGTGTGGGTTCTAGCTTGATATACGAAACCAAATCCATTCGCTGTATTCAGTGTCTAGTGGCCAAATGTCAGGGTTACATAATTTCTCATAAATACCTTTAGACACACAGACTCGAAATGATGAGTATCTCCTCTCTGTTTTGTGGTTTAACTTATCCACCTTTATGTAGCTTTCTTCTTCTAATACTTCACGTATATGTTCTAATAAATTATCTTCTGTCGTTTCTGTGAGTAGTCTCCATTTATGTAAGTATTTCTTCCGTTCTACTGCTTTTATTTTTAGAATAGATGAGTTACCTCCTTTTTTAATCTGATGCATCCTTTTAGGTTTCACTTCAGTCCAATTATCAGTATAAACCTGTATGACCTTCAGCGAATACCGTTTGGTGATTCTGAGTATAAGGTACGCAACCCTCGTCGACACACTCTCAATCTTTACAACGTTGTTAACGAGAGACTTGTGAACGATAAATCCAACACCTTCTTGTGACAGATGGTCGCCCTCCCGGTGATAGAGCAAGTTGCCGGATTCGAGGATTACCGTGTCCTCCCTCTCTCTTCGGACCTCGGATAATCCTATAATATGCCAGCGTAACTTGTCTATCTCTTCTTCCAGCTCCACGATCTTATCGTCAGTCCTCAGGGTGCGTACGTTGTATGTTGCCAGGTCGAGTTGTCTTAGGTGGCAACCAAACCTCCACCGGAGATTCTTAGCACCCCCTGCCCAGCCGTTACCATGGTCGCCACCGTAGCCAGGAATAGCGAGGCCGCCGGGGACTGGGGGCTGTCTCTTTCTTGCTTTCAACATTGGGGGTATTTGCCATAGTTGCCACGCTTGGCGAGTGGGTTGGCAACCGCAGTTTTTATTGTAATTTTGCTGTTATCAGGAAGATGCTGCTGCCCATCTCCTGCCTGTTTCCCTTTGTCACCTTTTACGACACCCACGTGAAGATATGGGGTAGTGGATTTTCTTAACCGCCACTACACGGAGTATATTAAATTACCTCTCTTTATTTATCACTATAATTATCAAAAAGTGCATCATTCTTCTTCTTTCTTTTTTTATGGCGGTTTTTTAATTATTCGCTAATGTCAGCGTGGAAGTGTTTATTGAGTACAAGCTCAGTAGTTACAAATACTATGCCCATGTACTAAAGAAGATTGTGATAATACAAGTATCTTATTTTCTTTAAACAATTAAATTTTCCCTTTTTATCTTGTAATACTATTGTTGTACTGTTGAATTACCTAGAACAAATGACAAACACAGTTGCTATAACTACATTAGTATATTAGTATTGAGAAACATTAAACTTTTATACTATTAGTGTTAATAAAATCACACAGAATATATACATAAGGAGTATTTGTGTAGGTTAAAAGTGAATCAAAATTTATAGGACGAGGGATGTCAGGAGGGAGATGATCATAGAGTGAACAAGATAATTTAGGACAGTTAAAAAAATATGGTCTGAGGTTCCCTCATCTAACCCACATTCGCAGAGGGAACTATCCCTAATCCTCAGTTTGGCTAAATGTACTGGCGTACAAGCATGGCCAATTCTAAGTCTACAAATAGTTGATGTTGACTGTTTGTTAGCTTTATTAAATTTGAAAAACCATGGTTTTGGAGGGATGGCACATTGTATAGCAGCATAGTGTTTACCTTTTATATTTTGAGTGGCTTTCCATAATGTGTTCCAATTATTACTTAACTTCTTCTTTGCAAATAACACTATGTCTGAAGAGTAAATTAAATTACATGGCAAACCATTTCGACTTGCATTTTTAGCCATCAGATCAGCTGTTTCATTGCCCTTAATGCCACTATGACCTGGAATCCAAGCTAAGGAAACCTGAATGCCCTTGAGATGACATCTATACAAGGTGTGTTCAATTTTGAGGATCAAGGGTAACTTATATTTACATTGGAACTGGTTTGACAAAATTGCTAACAAACAGCTTTTGGAGTCGGTAAGAATAACTGACTTATTTAAGTTGTGTGCTTCTATATAAATCAAAGCTTCATAAATTGCCGTGGCCTCGCCAGTAAAAGTGGAAGAAATAGAAGGGCATTTAAAATTGAGGATTATTTTGTATCTGGGAATCCAAACTGCTGCTCCAGTGCAACTTTCACCTGACTTTTTGGAGGCATCAGTGTATATAATAAGCCAGCCTTTCCATAAATTATCTATGACTCTACTTAGTTTACTATTTGCTATAGGGCAATCTTTCTCAATACCAAGGTCGAGGTGGATATTTGGTTGGAAAATAATTGCATCATATGGGATATCAAAGATGGGACAGGACTTGCATTGTGATACTGGGTGTGGTAGATGGAGTAATGTTACCAAACTGTTGGATAAGCAGGGAGATTCTTTATGAGTCCAGTAATGCTTTGTTGAAATATATTCTAAAAGAAGGTGTAATTTAGAAATGAGAGGATGTGAAGAGAGTTGATAGATTTTAAAAAAGAATCGGTCCGAAAGATATTGTCTTCTTAGGTAAAGAGGGGGATCTACACATTCGACTTGGAGAGCATTTATTGGGGAAGATTTCATTGCCCCAATGATTATACGAAGGCAATTCGTCTGAATCCTGTCTAGGATCTTTAGGGAAGACTTATTACATGGTTCCAAGACAAAGCACGCATAATCCAAATGACGTTGTACAATATTTTTTGAGAGAATGGATGGGAGCCCCACCAAACTCCCGATAACGCGCGAAGAATATTTATATTTTTTTCACATTTTTTTGAGACATAGTTGATATGATGAGAAAAGGTTAGTTTGGAGTCAAGAATAACTCCCAAAAATTTTACATTCTCCCTAATAGGGATAGTTTCATTATTAAAGAGAATGTCGATTTCAGGGAGTTGCCTATGGCGAGAGAAGATGACAACACTGCTTTTGGGAACAGACAAGGACAAACCATGATCAGTTAACCAATCTTGTAAATAGGACATTGATAGATTCAAGCAGGAACAAGCTGTAGCAAGGTTATCCAAGGAAATATATATAGCTATATCGTCTGCATATTGGAGGATGTTACAGAATGAGTTAACAGAAAGTTCTAGATCATAAGTATAGATAGAATAGAGCAAAGGACTAAGTACTGAGCCTTGTGGGAGACCCTTCCATACAATTCTTGGCGGGAGTAGAGAATTTTGACTATCAATATAAATGGATCTAGAAGAGAGAAAGTTAGAGACAAAATTTACTATCCTCACTGGAATACTCAGATTAAGCATTTTTTGCCTGAGCACAGGAAGAAGTACATTATCATATGCAGACGAGATATCTAGAAAGACACCAACAAGGTATTCATGTTTAGAGTAAGCTATACGAATATCAGTAACTAGAGTACTAAGGCTATCCATGGTGCTTAAGCCCTTTCGGAATCCAAATTGGCTTTTTGCTAGAAGGTTTTTGCTTTCAAGAAACCATTCTAGACGATTTTTTATTAGGTGTTCAAGAATTTTGGCCATGGTACTAGAAAGAGCAATAGGGCGGTAGCTTGAGGGATCAGTGTGAGGCTTACCTGGTTTGTAAATAGGTAAAATAACTTGGGATTTCCATTCTTCAGGAGGAATACCGGACATGTAAATACAAATTAAAATAGAAAGAAGATGGGCTTTAGTAGATTCACTGCTATTAGAAATAAAAAATAAGGAATTCCATCAATTCCTGGTGAAGAGTCTTTAAGGACACTAAGAACAGCATATAACTCCTCATAAGAGAAAGGGGAGTCAAAACTGTGTTGATAGTGCAAGGACTGTGATTGAAATACTATACTTTCATTGTAAGATGGTACTGAAGGAGGAGCAAGATTACTAGCAAAATTTTCAAGCCAATAAGACTGATCATTAGAAATTGTGTTTTCAGAGGCCAAAACTGAACGTGGTGAAGGAGCATTATTTTTATAAGGTTTTTTGATGGGGATTGTCTTATTGGCAGCAGATAAAATAGCATTTTTAAAAGTTGAATTCACCTGAAGAACATTATCTTTCTGAATAGGAGGAAGGGCTGATAGTTCTTCCTCTAGAACTGTGGAATATAGTTGCCAGTTTGCTTTGGATGTGTTATATTTTAACATAGGATTAAATGGAACATTGACTGTATAGGAGCTAGGGGGATTAATAACAATAGGGAAATGATCACTGCCATGGGAAAAGGGTAATATTCTCCAAGAAAGAAGGGACGACAGGGCAGGGGAACAGAGTGACAGATCTACAAGTGCATCATTAATTTTATAAAAAGTTTTTGACAGAACTTCTGACCTGACTAATTAATTACTGACAGATCGATTGAATAAGCTGTGAATTTTAGTGTGCTTTCAAATGTTCCTTTTTCAATATTTTGTGGGGTTTATAAAGGCAAAAAGCGTTTATTCTTTTATTGGATATTTAATATCTGTGTTTAGTATAAAAATATGTTAAAAGTGAAATGCACCTTGCTTAATATTAAAACATATTTTTTTAAATCATAATATAATAATTTATTAAACTTTTTTATTTATTAAGATTTATGGCTTGGATGCTTGTCCTTTAAGCAATGTCTTCATTTCATTCGGGATCTTCGTTTTTATAGATTTTCAGTATCAAGCGTCACATTGTATAGTGCTTGGGAGATTTTGATGGCAACTTGAGCCAGCAGGCAGTTTTTTTATATAGAATAGGGTGACAAACGAGCACACAGTCCACCTGATGGTAAGTGGTTGCTGTGGCTCATAGACATCTACACCTCTCCTCGTTTGTGAATCAAAATGCAGATGGGTTGTCACCCGTGAGGACTAACATGGAACGCCTCTTTTCCAGTAAAAAAGGGTCTCTGGTTCTCTAAAAGTTGGCGACAGTATCTCAAGGGGCCTAAGCAGACAGATACCTTATCTTCAGATTCACACCGCCATCGGAGCACTCGTTTCATCGTTTCCACTAATAGTTCACATGATATTTAATACTCAAAATTGCACCACTTTTACATATCAAAATCCACTTCAAACCATTATTTAAACAATAATACAGGAGCAGCAAACCGCCGGTCAAGTTTCCGCCAAAACTCTTATTAAATTTTAACTTGTTAATTTTAACTTTTAACTACATACAGACAAAACTTTCAGAAGCTAAAAACACTGGTGAGTATATATTATTGAAGTATTATATCAGTAATAAGACGTAACTAAACGCAGTGATTATATTCTATTTGGATGTAACCTTGAGCGTCCAGATGACTAATGCGAAATTTACTGCTCAAATGTTTCCAAGCACGCCATGTTAGAAACGTTCACGAGCGTTCGGATTGCGTCAGAGCGACAGTCAGAGCGGCAATAAACGGCAGACAGCTACTACTGCTAATTTCAAAATTGCCCTTTACTATCTCTGCTCGTTATAATGTCCGTTTGACTTGGCGGCTCTTTGCGAAATCCAAGAGTCGCGTCTAGTGAGACACACGGAATGGGCTTACATATTTGGCGCGCTTCCCTATGCTTCTCACTCCTGTTCTTTATATATAATGCTGACTTTAAATCCACTTGCTCTCTAGTTCATTAAATGCTCGAGATTAGTCTAATTTTTAGCATCCAGATTGATGACACCCACACGCTATACATTATATAATATAAAAAAATATAATATAGAATATTAAAAAGTTTAAAAGACTGTATGGTTTAAGATCTTCGTCTGAAATTATGTTAAGAAATTGTAAAAAATAAATGTCATTGATTAATGTCATGTTTTGTTGATATCGAAGCGTATATTGTTTATTTACTGACGGTTTTCTTATTGTAAAAGTTTTTATAGACTATGTGATACAAATAATGCGTAATGATTAATATTGAGCACCATTAAAAAGTTAATATTGAACTAGAACTAGACAAAGCTCCGTGATGTCGGATTCTACAACTTTTGTAGGAGCGCTCACACCTAAATTTTATGTAGCCCTTACCGGCACCTCTTCACTCATCTCGGGACTTATTTTAATATTCGAGTGGTGGTATTTCCGAAAGTATGGCACTTCTTTTATCGAGCAGGTGATAAATGTACCATATTTCAATTCATTTCAATGGAATATTAAAATGAAACACCAAACAATTTGGCGTTGTGTGTTTTTTTTGTATTGAAATGTGGTTCTAATTAGAATCTACTACAGCAAGCTTACAAAGATAAACGACTGATAATCATTCAGTTATTAAATGACGCTTTTTGCAAGTTTGTTGACAAACATTTTACGTTATATTTGAAAGTATGTATTAGTGTGATATACTGTTTGAAAGTTACCAATTTTAGATTTTTAACAAGGTTAATTTTACACAGAAAGCTAGAAAATGAAATATTTAAGCATTATATCATTAATTGAGTTTTAACCTTAAATTTAACAATTTGGCATGTCACACTTTAAGAGCATTTCATCATCATCATCACCTTCATCATTATAGGCCTGCTTCCTGGCAGATTTCTTGGAATTGGTCTCTGCAGCCGCACCTTCCATTTGGGCTGGATTGTTATCCTTTCCAGTTTCAGTAAGGCTACTGGGTCCTGGTCCAAGCACCACAGGAAGAGCAGCTTGCCCAGCCTCCTTGGTATTAATTTTGGGAGTAGCCAGCTCCAGCCTTTCTTTAAGTGCTTTTGCTCTCTGCTTCCTGTTCTTCTTCTTTACCTTTTCTTTTTTACCAAAAAAGCACAGGCACAGTTTACCGGAAATTAAATCATCATCATTACAGCCCTTCACAAGTCCACTGCTGATCATAGGCCTCCCCCAAGGAATGCCACAAAGCTTGGTCCTGAGCCACCTGCATCCATTTACTTCCTGCATGTTTTACCAGGTCGTCACTCCATCTAATGGGGTGTTGTCCTACACTTCGTCTACCAGTACGAGGCTGCCACTCGAGAACCTTTCTTCCCCATCGGTTGTCGGTTCTTTGAGCTATATGGCCGGCCCATTTCCACTTCAGCTTACTAATCCATTGGGCTATGTCGGTCACTCTAGTTCTAATGCGGATATCCTCATTTCTAAGTTCAACAGGCAGAGAAACCCCGAGCATAGCCCTCTCCATAGCTCACTGAGTAGACTTGAGCTTCCTCATATGGCCAAAATTTCAAAAATAACATCTCACCAAAAACATAGATGTGTAAAGGGGGCTAAGATCGGCACAGAATGGAAAAGCTTAGAATAATTTTTATTCAATATAGATTACAGTACATAATACTTATAAGTCATTTTTTACTTTTACCATTGGTTTGCAAAAAAACTTCTGCTCTGGGAATAACCAGCAAGAAACCCAGTGGGACTTTTTTTAACACGTTAAACGCCATTATAGAAAAAAGTTTTTGGAAAAAAAAAAAACTTGTAGTTTATGTATTTAATCAAGATATGTATATATACTGTTTTTCATAAGAATCTGCCATAGGGTTCCTTAAATATAACAAAAAAAACCCTTGAGGTCACCGGTGCCCCCCATGGCGCTATAAAGTAATAAAAATAGTTTCCGTTACGAAGGCGCCACGCCGGTCACCGCGTCGGCCACCCACCCGCTCAGTACTGCGCTAGTGCCCGTGAAGAGAAAACGTGAGTGTTCTATGTTGCTGTAATACTTTGCGTCAAGTACTTAATTAGTGTGATATTGTGTGCAGTGAACTTGAATATTATGAACATTGCAATAAATAATTAAAAATGGAAATATTTAGCAGTAAAAATTTTGAAGAAATACAGGTGGACATGGAAGATTTTGATTTTACACAGGAAGATTTGCGGGCATTAACATTACTCGAGACTAGTATTGTACAGCAGAATGAACGAGATAATCAATCAGATCTAGAGTTGTCGGATTCAAACGAAGAACAGTTGCATATTCCGAAAAAACGAACACGTTTAATCATCCAAAGCGACAGTGAGAGTGAGTCTGATTCCGTTCGAAATTATGTCACAGCCAATATTACCGCCTCAGATCGTGTGTCAAAGAAATGGTCACGCCCTAGGCGTCAACAACCATCTATTATACCATTTACCGAAACTTCAGGTATGAACAAAGAATTTTCTACTATATTAAAAGAAGCAGACCTGGGAGCTTTTTATAGTCTTTTAGTGTCTGATGAAATTTTCGATATGATTGTAGAGCAGACCAACTTATTCGCCTTACAATCCTGCGAATCGAGAAATGTAAAACCTTCATCAAGATCTCATGCTTGGAAGCCAACAGACAGACATGAAATTAAACGTTTCTTTGGACTTATCCTATACATGGGTCTTGTGAGACTCCCAAAGTTAAGCTATTACTGGAGCAAAGATAAAATCTTAGGACAGACATTTCCACGTACCGTCATGAGCCGCAATAGATTCGAAATAATCCTACAGTACCTACATTTTAGTGATAATGAAACCGCAAATAAATCTGATCGAATCTCTAAGATAAGACCGATTATAGATATGGTCAATAATACGTTTCAAAAGTATTATTCACCGAAAGAAGACATCTGTGTCGACGAAAGTCAGGTTCCATTCAGAGGGCGGATTGTATTTAGACAATACAATAAAAGTAAACGCCATAAATATGGTTTAAAGCTATTCAAACTATGTACTATTCCCGGGTACACCTGCAAATTTTCGTTGTATGGCGGTAAAAATATCGATACCGTAAATACTACGCCTACATCAGTGGTAATGTCTCTTTGTAGCCAAATATTAAACAAAGGCCACACTTTGGCAACTGATAATTGGTACACCAGCTTAGAGTTGGCTTACAATTTACTGGAACATCAAACGCACTTGATTGGGACTATTAGGAAAAACCGAAGAGGTTTACCTAAGGATGTAGTAGAAGCCAAACTTCAAAAGGGAGAGTTCATGGCCATGGAAAACGAGGATGGTATAACAATTTTAAAATGGAAAGATAAGCGGGACGTGATGATGCTTTCTACTAAACATTCTGATAAAATGTCAATAATCGCCAAAAAGGGCAAACAGATTACTAAGCCGAAAGTGATTTTAGATTATAATAAGTCAAAAGGATCTGTCGATATGAGCGACCAAATGTCGTCGTATTTTTCTCCCTTACGTAAAACTATTAAGTGGTACCGGAAACTTGGTATTGAGATTTTGTTGAATACTGCCGTAGTAAATGCATGGATTATGTTTACCGAAACTAGGAACACAAAAATGTCAATCGTAGAGTTTCGGAAATCTCTAGTAGACTATCTAACAAGCTCGTCAGATTCTCAGCAGACTGAGTCAGGAGTAACGGTATCAAGACCCAAACGTTTGAAGCACGAGTTGCTAACAAAAACTGGGACAGTGAGAAATACTAGACGATTTTGTGTACACTGTTACAAAGATATGGTAAAGCAGTTTGGACGAAAATTGGCGAAAAATAAAGCTAAAAAGGTTAATACTTTTTGCGCTCAATGTGATGGAAACCCACATATCTGTTTATCCTGTTTTAATAAGATCCATCGTTATGTTTAGTTCTTTCTAGTCAATTATTGATTTAATTTTTTCTGATTGCATTTTTATTTCAATGGTAATTTTTGTAGCATTTCCTGGATTTTTTCCTGTGTAAGAAGACATTTTTTTTTAATTTGAAGTTTATATTGTTTGTTTTATATTTTTAATAATGTGCATTGTAATAGCTTTAAGATTTAATGTGATTAAAAGTCATGTATCATGAAATTAGTCGCTTTTTTATTTTATCTTAAGGATATTGTACATATTTCCTAAAATTTTCTAAGTAGCCACGTCCCCTTGAAAAGGATTACTCTATAGCGCCAAAGCGGTCACTCGCATACACGAAATGTACGACACGCGTGACCGGCGGCCCAAAAATACATTTCGAATATGCCTCTCGCTTGAGGTCACCGGTGACCCCCATGGCGCAATAAAGTAAACCAGATGAGGTCACCGGTGACCCCCATGGCGTTCAACGTGTTAAAAGCATAATTTACATAATTTGAGGTTGTCTGCTTTACTGATAAAAGCGTTGATATCTGAATGGCGGCAAGCTCCATTTCAGTTCTAAGAATGTTTAACACCCTTATTAAACCCTATTGAGTGGTTACTATTATGTGTTACACATTTGCAGGTGTCACTGGCTCACTTGGGTCCGTGGCTGGGCGGTGGAGCTAGTGCTTCAGATGGGGACGAGAGCGAGACGGGTGCGGGAGCAGCGGGCGCGGGCGCGGGAGCGGGGCCCGGGGCAGGGCCGGGCGCGGGGGCGGGGGGCGCGCCGCCCGGGCCCGCGCCCGCCGAGTGCAAGGTGTGGCGCAACCCCATGTCGCTGCTGCGTGGCGCGGAGTATGGCCGCCTGTGGACCGTAGCCCGTCGCGCGCCACTCACTTACTACGACATGAATCTCTCCGCGCAAGAGCATCAAGCTTGGTTCGGTGAGGAAATTGCTAAAATTTTCAACTTTTTAAATAAGCATTATTATTAAGCACTGCAAGGAGCTGTTAGTTTTAGTAATACTCATAATTATATTGATACAATGGTTTAAACTTTAAACATTGTATATGTTGCCTTATAATACCACAACTACGAGAAAACTTGAGGGAAATGAATACTTTGTCCACAACTCAAGTTGTTCTAAAAGAACTTGAATAGTCTTTGGTGGTTTTTCTTCAAGCATGTGTCAATTTGGAATTGGTTGCATAGCCCACGATGATCTGATTCAATACAAATAAGTTCCCAGTCAATATATTTTACACCATGTAACGCCATAACAGCAGGATTGTCTTTCGATTGAACTCTTTTGTTCCACTATCGCTACACTATTTCTATAATCAAACATTTTCGAGTAACTCTTGTTGCAAGATTTCTTCGACATCATTGATTTTTTAAAATTATGCATATAAAAGTCCCTAAGGACCCTTTTTGATGCCATTGGAAAAGCATCACCAGCATCTATACCCATTTGCTTAATGTCTTTACATGCTAAATGAGGCGCTGGAGCTGCACCAAAGGAAGTGTTTAGTTACAATTTCCGATTAGGATAGTTTAGTTTAGTTGGAAGACTGCGTCTTCTTGGTATAGTTCGGTCTGAGCACCTGTTCGCAACATACTTACTCATACTTACAAATATTAGTCTAACTGTCGGTTACTAACATGCATGCGTGGTTTGCCATGCTTTAATTTTGGAGCATTCATTGGTGGACCTTGTTCACTATGGAAGAAAATCAAGTTTTAGACGGGGAGGTGATAAATTCTGTTTTAATTCAAAACAATGAAGTGGAAACGGAGATTTGTTTACAAGAAAACGTCAAGTAGTAGTAAGTAGTAAGCGTCAATTTCTAAAGAAAAGGAACTTTAAAAAAGCAAACTGGGATGGATATAGCTCATACTTAGAAGATAAAATTTCAAGTTTTGTTTTTATTGATGAAGATCAGCAGAAAAGCTACAATTTATTTTTAAGTATGATCAATGAAGCCGCTGATGCTCATATTCCTTTTTACAGAACCAGCCAAGATCCCTCACAACATTTTTCTCCTAAAGTATATTGGAATACCAACTTATCTAAATCTGTTGCAGAAAGGCGCCTAGCTCTTACTCTATTTAGAAAAAACCCTACTCCTGATAATTTAGATAAATTAAAAGACAAAATTAGAATCAACCAATTACTAATTAGAAAGGCAACTAAGAAATTGTTTTCTAATTTTTGTTCTTCGATGGATGAGTCTATTACTGTACACGGGATGTGGCGGAAAATGAAGTGGTTGAAAGGTTATGGGTGTTCTAATATGAATCGGTGCTGTTGATGTAACTATGGCAAATGAGCTTTTACACAGTTTGACTCCAGACTCAGTTTGTCCGAAAGACCCTGTTTTTTCATCTCGTAACATTAAAATTGACTCTCTTTTTTTAATGAGCGAGCTACCGTGCTGTGTTAAAACAAAAGATACTTCTCGAGGTGTGGATAATATATCCTATTCAATGATCAAACACCTTCCCAAAGACGCATTTATTATTTTACTCGAACTATTTAATTTGTTTTACTCTCTAAGTTTTGTACCGAGAATGGCGAGAAATACGCATTATACCAATTCTAAAAGCATGGGCGTGAGACTTTATCTTTATCATAGCTCCGACCTATTTCGCTGATGTCTTGCCTGAGTAAAATCTTCCATGCTATGTTGAGAAATACACTGGAATGGTTGATGAAAAATGAAAATCTATTTTATGAAGAGACCACCGGATTAGGGAAATCAAAATCATGTTTGGACAATCTCAGTAATTTAGTTAGTAGAGTACAATTGGGTTTTTCAAAAGATCAAATCACAGTAGCTTGCTGTATTGATATAGAGAATGCGTACAATAACATAGATATTACGGCTTTGCTAGTGAATTTGGATCTCTTGGTCTGGATTACAGTAACAAGCAGTATGGAAGCTATTATAAAATATTTACCGATGGCTCTAAAGATGCAGGCGGAATTGGTGTAGCTTTTTTTGACCCACAATGTAATCTTAGTTTACAATTTAAGATAGATAGTAATATATGCATCATGGAGGTTGAGCTTGTAGCAATATGTAAAGCACTGTCTTACGTTGCATCACTACCACAAGATAATATTGTGATATTGACAGACTCAAGAAACGCACTCCAACACCTGGCTCGGTGCACCTCGGGTACACGAGGCACACCGTCAGCCTACACCGTTATAGAATAGAATAGAATAGAATAGAATAGAATAGAATGATTTTTTATTCAATATGGATTATTACATAATACTTATTGAAAGTCATTATTTTATTTACCACTGGTTCGGAAAATACCTCTGTCCTGGGAAGAACCAGCAAGAAACCCAGCGGGACTTTTTTTTTAAACATAATTTCACTTAACAATAATTTTGATTATACAATTTTAAATGAAATTTCATAGAACCAGCATGGTGGCGATCACCTTATTCCCAGGGGTTATTTTCACTCATGTATTCCTTGATATTATAATAACCCTTTTTGTACAGTTTTTCTTTAATAAAACTTTTAAACTTGTTTATTGACAAACTTTGAACATGTTCTGGGATTCTGTTGTAAAAGCGTATACATTGCCCCATAAATGAATTACTAATTCTGTGGAGTCTTGTAAGTGGCATTACAAGCTTATGTTTGTTCCTAGTGTTTAAGGTATGAACATCCTTATTCTTATTAAAGCTATTTATGTTTTTATGTACATACATTACATTTTCATAAATATATTGCGATGCCAAAGTTAATATGTTTATTTCTTTAAATTTTTCTCTAAGGGACTCTTTACAATTTAGATTATAAATCGCCCGTACGGCTCTCTTTTGCAAAACAAATATAGCTTCAATATCAGTCGCATTACCCCATAGCAAAATTCCATAAGACATTACGCTATGAAAGTAACTAAAATACACTAACCTAGCTGTCTCAACATCTGTGAGACTTCTAATCTTTCTTACAGCATATGCTGCAGAACTAAGTCTGCTTGCTAATTTAGATATATGGGGGCCCCATTGAAGTTTCGCGTCAATAGTAATACCGAGAAAAACAGTGGTATCCACAAGACTCAACTCCTCCCCATTTAAGAGCACATTGGTTTTCGAATGTTTTACATTAGGTATTGTAAATTTAATACATTTTGTCTTATTGCCGTTTAAGAGCAAATTGTTGGCGTTAAACCAATGTACTAGTTTCGATAGAGCATTATTTACATCGTCATATTTAACTGACTGCCGTTTCAGTTTGAAAATTAAAGAGGTATCGTCAGCAAATAATACTATATCGTGATTGTCCCCTACAAGATAAGGTAAGTCATTAATATAGATTAAGAACAGGAATGGGCCAAGAATCGAGCCCTGAGGAACGCCCATTGATACTACCGATCCGGAGGAACATTTACAACAGTTATGGATACTATTTATGGGTTAACATCCAAAATCAAAATCTATTAAGGTGCAGTGGATTCCGTCTCATTGTAGTATGGAATATAATGAGCGAGTAGATATCTTGGCTAGACAGGCTACTACGGATGGTATCCAATACAGCATATTACGCCATTATACTGATTGTATTTCTATTATAAAAAAGCAATGTTTTATATTATGGAAGGAGTATTTCAATTTACGTTCAAAAGAAAAGGGTATTTGGTACAAGACGGTACAGCCACAACCACCTAAAATACCATGGATTGATAACCATAAGCTATCGCGACAAGATGCAGTAGTGATAATGAGGCTTCGTAAGGGACACATTCCATCTAGGAAGTTTGCATTTCTCATGAAAAAGGTCTGCCGTGTAGTGGCGGTTAAGAATATCCACTACCCCATATCTTCCCGTGGGTGTCGTAAAAGGCGACAAAGGGAAACAGGCAGGAGATGGGCAGCAGCATCTTCCTGGTAACGACAAAATACAATAAAATACTGCGGTTGCCAACCCGCTCGCCAAGCGTGGCAACTATGGCAATATACCCCCCATAATGAAAGTTACGAAGAGACGGCCCCCAGTCCCCGGCGGCCCCGCTATTCCTGGCTACGGTGGCGACCATGGTAACGGCGGGGCAGGGGGTGCTAAGAATCTCCGGTGGAGGTTCGGTTGCCACCTACAACAACTCGACCTGGCAACATACAACGCACGCACCCTGAGGACTGACGAGAAGATTGTGGAGCTGGAAGAAGAGATAGACAAGTTACGCTGGCATATAATAGGATTATCCGAAGTCCGAAGAGAGGGGGAGGACACGGTAATCCTCGAATCCGGCAACTTGCTCTATCACCGGGAGGGCGACCATCTGTCCCAAGGAGGTGTCGGATTTATCGTCCACAAGTCTCTCGTTAACAACGTTGTAAAATTGAGAGTGTGTCGACGAGGGTTGCGTACCTTATACTCAGAATCACCAAACGGTATTCGCTGAAGGTCATACAGGTTTACGCACCAACCTCGGCACACCCGATCAGGAGGTGGAGGCAATGTATGAGGATATCTCTAGAGCCATGCATTCCTCCAAAACCCAATATACGGTGTTAATGGGAGACTTCAATGCAAAACTAGGCACAAGAGAGAACGGTGAGCTGAAAGTGGGGAAATTTGGAATAGGGCAACGGAACCCAAGGGGCCAGCAGTTGGCCGACTTCATGGAGAAAGAGGGACTCTTTATGATGAACTCTTTCTTCCAGAAGCGGCCCCACAGGAAGTGGACCTGGTCGAGCCCCGACGGTTCGACAAAAAATGAGATTGACTTCATTATGACGACCAGACGACAACTGTTCAGTGATGTCTCAGTGATCGCGAGGGTGAAAACCGGCAGCGATCACCGAATGGTTAGAGGCACACTGAACCTAAACGTTAAGTTGGAGAGGTCTCGTCTAATGAAGTCAACGCTCCGTCCCCCTCGTGCTCTAATCCAAAGTCCCGAAACCTTTCAGCTC